TTCCCCCCCCCCCCCCCGGTTTTTTTTTTGTGTGTGTGTGTGTGAAATGTTCTATATCTTGACCTGGGCGATGGTTACACAGGTGTATAATAGTATTAAATTCATTGAGTTGAAAAGATCAGCTCACTTTAAGCACTTTACTGTATGTATGTTATACCTCAATAAATGTTTTTTTTTTTTTTAAAGAAAGGGGGCTGGAAAGGGAGACATGTAGGGATTTGATTATAAGGGAACATTATATGGTAGGTAATAAAATATATTTTCTAGATAGGAAAGTAACAAGATTTGTGTTTGACAACGAAAAACTTGTGAGGAGGTTACAGTACAGTCAAAAGACCAGTTAGTAGCTGACTGGTTATCTCAGTTGGGTAGAGCATGGTGCTGCTAACAGCAAGGTCCAGGGTTCAATCCCTATACTGGCCAGCAAAAACAAACAAAAAAACAACAAAAAGACCAGTTAGGAGACCACTACGATAGCCCGGATGAGGTTTGGATCCCTATAGTGGCCAGTGCAAAAGAAAAATCTGGATGAAAAGTAAGGGCCTTAACTAGAGCAGAATCAGTGGGGAGAAGATGGATTTCAGACTATATTAAAAAGGTGGAATCCATCAGATCTGGTGATTAATTAAATATAGAAGGATTAAGGAGAGAAGAGAGCTTAGAATGACTTAAATTACTGGGGTACCTTATGAACTGTGGTACTGTTAACCAATACAGGAGAAAAAAAGAGCAGGGCTAGATTCAGTCTGACCTGGTTTTTAGAGCTGCTATATTTGATATGCTTTGGGGTCTCTAGGTGGATATATCCAGAGGGCAGCCAGACACTGCTCTTTCCTGCTTCTCCTATCTCTGACTTGTTTTCTTCCATTTGTTTTGCTGGCTCCTTTGCTTCTGCCCACCTGATTAGATGCTGGTGATTTCCTTCCATTCCCTCATCGACACTGTTTTTATGATCTCTCTAGGCACTTCTCCCATACCACCATTTTACTCTCATGTATGTGAATTATAGCTTTTAATATCCTCCTACTTGGATGTCCTGCAGGTATCTCAAATTCAACTTGTTAAAAACCAAAAGCAGGGACAACTGGATATCCACATGAAAAAGAATGAAATGAACCCCTACCTGACACCATATACAAAAATTAACTCAAAATGGATCAAAGACCTGAATGTAAGAATAAACTTCATAAAACTCTTAGAAGAAAACACAGGTATAAACCTTTGTGACCTTGAAGTAAGCAAGAGTTTCTTAGATATGATACCAAAAGCATGAACAACAAAAGAAAAAAAAAAAAAGATAAATTGGACTTTGTCAAAATTAAAAACTGTGCTTCCAAGGATACCAACAAGAAAGTAAAAAGACAACCAACCCACAGAATGGGAGAAAATATTTGCAAATCCTGTATCTGACAAGGGACTCATATATATAAAGAACTATAACATATAATGAGCTCTTACAACTCAATAATAAAAAGACACCCCAACTAAAAAAGGGTCAAAGGAGATGAAAAGACATTTCTCCAAAGAAGATTTACAAATGGCCATTAAGCACATGAAAAGATGTTCAACATCATTAAACATCAGGGAAATGCAAAACGAAACCGTAGTGAGATGCCACATCACATCCACTAGAATGTCTTTAATAAAAAAGACAGACATCATACCAGCCAGTCGTCAAAAAAAGACAGATAATAACAAGTGTTGGCAAGGATATGGAAAAACTGGATCCCTCATACACTGGTGGTGGAGATGTCAAATGGTGCAGCCACTTTGGAAAGCTGTCTGTAGTTCATCAAAAGGCTAAACAGAGTTACAACATGACCCAGCAATTCCTTCCCTAGATATACACCCAAGAAAATTAAAAATATTATCTATTAAAAATATTATAGCTACACAAAAACTTATACAAAATGTTCATAGCAACATCATTCATAATAGCCAAAAATTATAAACAAGCCAAATGTTAGTGAACTGACAAATGGACAAACAAAATAGGGCTGGCCGATTAACTCAGCTGGTTAAAGCACAGCCTTGTAACACCAAGGTCAAGAGTTTGGGTCCCTGTACCAGCCAGCCACCAAAAAAAGGTGCTATTATCCATACAACGGAACATTTTTCCACCATAAGAAAGAAGTACTCATATATGCTACAACGTTGATGAACCTTGAGGCCACATATTGCATAAGCCCATTTATATTAAATGTCCAGAACAGAGGGCCAAGACCGTGGCTCACTCCCTCGTGTGGTGTTGATAATACCAAGGCCACGGGTTCAGATCCCTACATAGGGATGGCCAGTTAGCTCACTTGGGAGAGCACAGTGCTGACAACACCAAGTCAAGGATTAAGTACCCTTACTGGTCATCTTTTAAAAATAAATTAAAAAAAAAAAAAAAAGTTCAGAATAGGCAAATCCGCAGAGACATCAAGATTGGTGGTTGCCTAAGCCTAGGCATGGAGGGGGCAATGGGGAGTGACTGCTGATAGATGGGTATGGGGCTTCTTTCTGAGATAATGACAATATTGTGCAATGAAATAGCAGTGATGGTTGCACAACCTTGTGACTATACTAAAAACCACTGAACTGTATACTTTTATAAGGGTGAAATTTATGTCATGTAAATTATATCTCAATTTAAAAACATTAATCCTAGAACACAGAAGAGTCTTATTAGTTGCAAAAAGAACAGTATGCATTGTCAGCACCATGCTCTCCCAAGTGAACTAACCAGCCATCCCCATATAGGGATCTGAACCTGTGGCCCTGGTGTTATCAACACCACACCCTCCCAAGTGAGCCACAGGCCGGCCCAGAACATTATGCATTGTAAAGATGATTGAATACCATAAAATATTATAAAGAAATGTTAGGGGGCTGGCCTGTGGCTCACTCGGGAGAGTGCGGTGCTGATAACACCAAGGCCATGTGTTCGGATCCCATATAGGGATGGCCGGTTTGCTCACTGGGTGAGCGTGGTGCTGACAACACCAAGTCAAGGGTTAAGATCCCCTTACCGGTCATCTTTAAAAAAAAGAAATGTTATAATATCTTTGTTTCTGAATAACCTTAAAAATATAGGCTGGACTAAATGATTTGTTAAACTGTATTGTTTACACCCATTACAAAATCCACATCAAATAACATCAAAGCAGTTCTCCTTCTCAAGCACATTTATAAATATATATAGTATTCTCTTGCCTTGTAATCCTTAAGACACTAAATAGATAATGCTACAAGAATAGGGAGTGGGGAATCACCAGACATATTCTAAATTAAACTTTCTACTATTTTTGAAACATGATGCCTAAGTTTAAAATGAGATCTGCAGTGTAATGTAGGATTCAGAAGATCTTGTTTACAATCCTAGTTCCACTAATGATTTGTAATGTGACTGTGGGCAGGTCACTTAACCTTTCTTTGTTTCTTCATCTGAAAAGTGAGGATAACAGTACCTTCTTTAACATAATATCTTTCTCTTCCCAATTTCTGGTTTTTAAAGATATCTATGATGGGTAAACAATCTTTGTGATAAAAATCTCTACTTTTCCATGAAGTAATAAGAGGTAAACAAACCAAACCTTACCCCTCTGTGAAGAAGCTGGGGAAGGCAAAGAGACAGCATGGGATAAAGAAACAGGTGGGTTAGGGCTGATGATGGTGACAGCATACTAACAGAACATTGCGTTCATGATCCTGGCTTACTTAAGAAGCACCAGGGACAAAAATATACTTCTCACCCTTTCTTTTGTGATTTTAACAGAAATGGCGATGGGACAGCCTGTAGCTGCTCCTCCTGAATGTGGAAAAACTAAATGTCCAATGGCTGTACTAATGTTTTTTGTTTTTGAGGTTTCTTTTAGGCAGCTGGCCAGTATCTGAACCCTTGTACTAATGTTCTTAACACAGAAATACCTGACTTAAATTAATAGGCACTACACTAAATTCTTAAATTTATAGCAATCTCATCTGAAATAAATATACTATGCTGACGTTGAAAGAATATGCTTATCTTTCCACCCCATAAATAACCATAATAAATTGGCAGTAAAATTAGAAGTATACTTATGTTAATAAGCATACTTACCAATTCTTTTAGTTGGTGATGGTGTTTTTTCAGCAGTTGTTACCTAAAATAAAAATATGCATTGTAAGTTAGAATTCTCTTTGGTAGAAGGCAATTACATCAAATTGAAAAGTTACATTAATCATAAATTTGAAATAAATTGGCTTTATTCCAATTCAACATATGAATATTCACAAGAGGTATACATGATGGAGCTAGAAAGAAGTTAAAAAGAGAATCTAATCCAATCCCTTCACTTTACAGATAGGAAGCTGAGGGCCAGGAAAATAAATGACCTCATGGAGGCAAGAGTTAATGGTAGAACCATCTTGACAACTCTGGTCTCCCATTCTAGTCCAGGATTCTTTCTACATATTACTGATGCCTTGGTCACCCCAGTTCATCCTATCAATTTAGATACATTTTTGAGATTTTAAGTATTGTCTGCAAAAAGTTTAAAACCACTTATGAATACAAAGCACATTATATGAAGGTCTAATTTCAGAAGGCTAAGGGACATCAATATTTTAGTTCTTCAAGCCCATTTTTGCCTACAGTGGTACTTAAATCAGTTCATCCTGATCCCCCTTTCACAAATTTGCTCCATGTTAAGAATAAGAAGCACTCTTCAAGTTCTCCTCTTTAAAGCTAAGCATGTATTATTCATTACAATACCATACTGCGAAATTTACCAAAGAAATAACTGTAAAACAAATGATATAATATTTGAAAGTATATATTACACATAAGGGACTTACCAGAGATTCTTCAAGTGAACGGGTTAAATGAATATTGTTTATATATTCTTGTCCCTTCTCTTCTAACAGATATTTACACCTAAACAATTAAAAGAAGGTTAAACTTTACTAGGTGATAAATTACTAAAGTATAAGGCAAGATATAATCTCCATCATATTAATTACATTAACATGCTTTTCGGTATTTCTAAGGAGCCACAAAGTAAAATGTTACCTAATTCCCTATCCAAATGTTATTTTGAAGTTAAAAAAAGTTCCCTTTGGGGCCGGCCTGTGGCTCACTCGGGAGAGTGCGGTGCTGATAACACCAAGGCCCCGGGTTCGGATCCCACATAGGGATGGCCGGTTTGCTCACTGGGTGAGCGTGGTGTTGACAACACCAAGTCAAGGGTTAAGATCCCCTTACTGGTCATCTTTAAAAAAAAAAAAAAAGTTCCCTTTGTAGGGCTGGCCCATGGCTCACTTGGGAGAGTGTGCTGCTGATAACAATAAGGCTACGGGTTCAGATCGCTATACAGGGATGGCAGGTTGGCTCACTTGGGAGAGCATGGTGCTGACAACACCAAGTCAAGAGTTAAGATCCCCTTACTGGTCATCATTTAAAAAAAAAAAAAATTGTTATGCTACTTATGCTAATGTTAGAATAGCAAAAAATACCAACTTGAGAATTTCAACTTTTAAGCAAGAGTTATTAAATTGGCACCTTCACATTTATTTATTTATTTTTTGGGGGCAGCTGGCTGGTACAGGGATAGAACCCTGGACCTTGGTGTCATTAGCACCACACTCTGACCAACTGAGCTAACTGGTCAGCTCTCAAACAGTTAATCTAACAGGTTTTATTTAGAAGATTAACCAGCTGTACATTTAACAGGAATTCTTTAGGCTTGTTTCTTTTTTGGGGGGGGGGGGGGTGGCTGACTGGTATGGGGATCTGAACCCATGACCTTGGCGTTATAAGGCTGTGCTCTAACCAACTGAGATAAGGCCAACCTAGGCTTTTCAATCTTTCCTTTTAAGGCTGTTTAAGGCTAAGATTTCTTTTCAAATGATTACTCTGAAGTTTTAAATTGTACTATTTTATAGGCCAGAAATTCAAATCACTTATATACCTGTGTACTTTAAAAGTACACACTTATATACCTGTGTAGTTTAAAGAGGCAAGATGGCAAAGAGACATTTAGGGTATGTTATCGTCGTAAGATGCCACTGATTTTAAGCATGATTATTTTATGTACCACCTAAAACTGCTGCTAATTAAATTATAACCCATCACCAGATGTGTCTTGATTTCAGAGGTCTTAAAATGTGAACAACTGTATGTCTTATAATCAACAAGATACATTAATATTTCCTAGCAGCTATGATAGCTTCTTAAGAAATCTCCTTGGCAACATGGGCTCTTGTACCCATCATGAAAGAGCTGACTTCCAACAAAAAAATGCATATGTTTCCTAATTTGGTGTCTAGAAATGGAATATTCTGAATGTCACAGATATGACACATAAGCAGTGAATGTTTTGGTCACCAGAAAAGGCTTAGGTGAATTTTTTTTTCCCTATAAAGCAGGTGACCACATTTTTACAAACCTGGTACAAATTTTAAGCCAGAGTGAAGACAAAAATAGTTGAGGTGAAAAGTAATTCAAGTCTTCTCACTGCATACTGTCCAACCTGCCTGTTACTGAGTGAACAATTAAATATCTTACCCTGGATACCACTTAGCATGTTGTTCCCAAGGGTCTTCACTGGGCTTCCAATCAGTTAGCCCTCCTCCACAGTGAAAGCACTTTACCTTATCCCCTTCGCCTAAGAAAACACACAAGTAAAAATATATGTATTTGTGCCATTAGAAGCTTACACAAAAATACCCATTTGAGCACCTAAAAATTAACCATGTCTAAATTACATGACTCAATTGCATAGCTTAAAAGAAGACATTCAAGGGCCGGCCTGGTGGCGCACTGCTACAGTGCACCGCTTGGGAGCACGGTGGCGCTCCCGCCGAGGGTTCGGATCCCACATACAGACCGGCCACTCACTGGCTGAGCGAGGTGCGGGAGCAACACCGAGGG